CCTTACAGACGTGGGTCTTTCGCTTTTAAAGCGATATATTTCTCACATAACAGCTCTTCTCCTCCTTTAAGAAATCGCTCATTTTAACGGGGATTTTTCTATCATGAATGCGTCAAATGATGGGAAATATTCGTTTTGAAATAGTGAATATTATTTTCCCCCAAATGGTATTTTTTTTGTTAGTTCACACGATGAAAACGTTCATAACATTGTTCACACTTTTTAAAGTGTTAACCTACTAATGAATGTACGTTTTATATATCAAGACGATTACAATTTCTCTTGATTTCTACTCAAAAATTTTTTTTTTTTAAATGTGTAGTGTTATGAACTGCACATTCCCCCCATGAAGTTTGTGTAACTCTCCCCGGGGCGGTGAGATGGGTGGTGGAAGCGCTCGGTGCGGTGTGGGGGGGGGGGGCGCGGCCACGTGGCGCGGGGTCGCGTCCGCGCCCGAGAACTGCGTCATCCGCCCAGAATGCCGGCGCGGTCGTGGCCGGGCCCGTGCCCGAGCCGCGGTTCGCCCGTATCGTGGCATGCGGGCGGCAGGAGCAGGGGGCCGTCGCCGCCGCGTGCCTCGTGCAGCCGGTGCCATTCTCCCCTCCCCTCCGCGAGCCCGGGATTTGCGCTGTACACGTGGATGCTGGAAAAGAGACTTCGTTGTGACGCGGAGATCTCTAGTTGCGACGTGGATAGCTTAGTTAAATTTGGTTATTTGTTATCCAGCTTCGGAATAAAGAAGGAATAAAGCGTGTATTATTTACTGCACTTTCCGGACTTCTCTCCGCATTGTGCCTTCTTGACAGCATTCGTACGCTCGAAGAATACCTCGCTACTCTTCGAGAATCTCACCAATAATTCAAATTATTGGAAATAAGTGTTAATGCTATAAGTAAATTGGGATGTTATGAGCGCATTATGAGAACTCTGGCACTGATAACCTGCAGAACACAATTACGAGATTCCCAGCGTAGTACGTCGTTTCCGAGTGGAATATAACAGCGGTTGGCGAAGACAACGTGAATTAATTCGAAGAATGATTCGCGATGGGTGGAATCCATAAGAACATCATGCAATTCCTTAATGACGAGAAGCTTTTTTTCCTCCTGTAAAGCGATATATTCTCACGTAACAGCTCTTCTCTTCCTTCGAGAACTCGACTTGCGCTCGTAAGGGGGCGTTACGTGACCGCGTGGCGGCCGGGGCTCTGCGACGAGAAGTTCCGTCGCCTTGCGATCGCCGCCGATCGGCGCGGAGGATGGCTTGCGCGTCCCCCTGGTCGTCGTGGGATGGCGGCGGCGCGGAGACAAGGAGAACTTTCTAGAAATAACTGCAAGGTCACACTCGTCGGGACGCTGCGCGCCACCGCCGCCGCGGACTGTACGAAGAGGAGGTGGAGGTGGATGCGAGCAGAGGTGCGCACGGCCTGGCGCGGCGAGAGAGGAGCCGGCCTTGACCAGCAGCGGTGGCAGCGGCCGCAGTCTGTCGCGCCTCAGAGCGCGTCCTATCACGCGTGCCGCGCTCGCTTTCCGCTCCGGTACCTCCTCCTCGTCCTCCGCCCGCCCCCGCGCCCGCGGCGCAAATACCCGATGCGAGTGCCCAGGCGGACTGCGCTGGATGGTAGGCGGTCGGGATGCAGTCTCGCTTGGCGTCCCGGTTTTGGAAGAAGTACGAGGCTGTCGGATTCACACCCACGCGGTGTTAGGGCTTGTGATTTTTATGGGAAAGTTGTGGATTTCGTAAATTTTGTACATGTACAATAGGCCATACACGGGAGAGCAAGGACAGGAGCTTTGAGCTTGTCCCGGGTGGGGCGGTGTCCCGCTGGTGGGAGATACCTGGTTCGAGGAAACCCCGTTAGCCGACGGCAGGTCGGCGGCGGTACTGACCATCCAGCGGGGCAAGAGCACCGCCAACTCTCGAGAAAAATGGACTATACTTACAGGACTAATGGCGTTAGCAGTTGATGCGCCCAGAATCAATCTCATCAATCAACTGGCGAGGAAACTGTGAACTCACTCGCAACTTAGGAAAAACGTTAAGTAAAATGGAATCTCTTGTTTCCAAGCATGGAGAGGAATGGTCTACGCTGAATTGAAACGATCTTCACTAAGCTGACTTGCTAAACCAATTCTCGTTTCAAATCTCTTCTGCAGGTTCGGACTTGTTCGGCGGCGTGTGGACCGCCAATCGGACGCGGCCTCCCTGTGGGGGTGGGGGCGTGGAATCGTATGACGTAATTCGTGATCTCACTCCGCGGTAGGAGACCTGCGATGATGTCAACACACACATGGCCCCCACCGGCGCCGCGCACGTTCAGTGGAGCGTCGCCGGATTTGTGACTCGATCGCTCGGCGGACGCCTAAACCCGTGTTTGTTGTACCCTGACCTCGCCTACCGCACAGATTGTCCCGTTCCGTTGAGGTCAGATAACCCGTAGCAAACTGAGGTAGCGATGAACTAAATTCCGATTAATTAAATTTTAAAGAATTTTGTCCCGACCGGGATTCGAACTCGGGCGTTCTAGTTTATGCCCGCTTGCTCTAACCACTAAGCTTCCGAGACAATCAATCCTTTGAACAGTTTTCATGAGGGCGATTATCGCTCCTTGTTTGTATATATAATTGTCATCTTCCCGTCTCTTTGTTGGACGCAGTTACTTCCGATTGGTTGAAACTATTAATATTTGCACAATAATATACAGGAAACGAACTAATATTTTCGGGAACTTCATTACGTATCGCGCGATGTTGATTTCTGAGACCAACGAACTTCAACACCAGAGAAACGCCCGCTCTCCAGCGACGTCAGGGAGCTGTTGGTGGGTAGGTGTGCGGTTGGGGGGGGGGGCGTTCGCGCGTAACGTCACGTGTGGACGTTTGCCGCCGGCCACACACCGCGCGTCTTTGTCCGCGCGGAGCGCACCACGTGGCGTGCATGCGCCGGGCTTGCCTTCGCGGAGGAGGCCGCGATGCCGTCACCGGCGGATCTCCCGCCGACGCCGCGTCGACAGGGCGTGCCCCGCTGCAGGTCGCCGCTCCTACGCCCCCGCACCGCGCTCGATTCGACGCGCCGCGCCGCGCAGTCGCTGTATGCCGCAGCAGTAAATGAGATTTTTTAAAGCGAGGCCTGCAGTAGGGTCTCTCTTGTACGTAGCAGTGTATTCATATTGCGCGAATGTTAATGTTGAGAGGTTGATGGTTTTGTGTAGGAAGGGAGAGAGGACGGGCAACGTAAGGGAAACTAGAACGGATGGTGATATTTTTGGGATTCCAATATCTCAGCTTTTTCTTAAACTTAACTTTAGTAGTTAAAAACGATTTAATTTTCTTAAAGTCATGTAGCGACCACTGTAACATTGTGGGTAACGATATACGGACACGCACAGACATCCGTGCCCAGGGCGTGATTCGAACCGACAACCCTTCAGGCACGAGGCAACTATGGCTCTTCAGGCGTAACGACCTCTGTTAACGGCTCTCTAAGCCTTGTATTCCCGGAAACCTTCGAATAGTTTTGATGGGTAGATTATGAAGTTTCGATATTTGATATGTGTTAATGGTGGAGCAATGATGAGTTAGAGCAGAGGAAACAATTCGGCTGTTGCACCGTGGTTCATGTGTAGAAACCTGTTGCCACTGCTACCTGCTTTGTTGTTCGCACAAACTGGGAACGATGCAGAGATGGAACATCCGGTACAAGTCAGGCTCTCGCGGGCGACACGTTTGAGTATTTGACCCTTGGGAGTGGGGGGAACGCGAAAGGAGTAGACGAAGTTTGTTGGATCAGCTTGGTCCAAGTGACTGAGAGGATGGCCCTTGCACGTGCAAGGCTTCTACGAGTGCAGATTTGGTGTGATGCGCATTCCACAAAGGTAGAAGAATCAGTTGAGAAAGGGCTGTGAAGCGGCAATGGGGGAAGTCAATTGCGTCCTGTCTTCCCTGTCATAGGATCTTTTTGCCTCTCATTTTAGGTAGGTTAACGTGATTCTTACGAGAGAGAACACGTCGAGACACGTTCTCTTGTAAACTGGTACGTCCGTCAAAGCCAGAGTCCTTCGGCCTTCTAAACTGCGCTGGAGGTCAAAAAGAACTCGAGGCTAGTGTGTGTGCACTTAGCACGTTGTTCCGAAGTGCTCTTCCTCCCAAGTCGAGTGTTTAAGCTGGTCTGGAATATCTGCTGGGTTTTGGCTCGAACAAAAGTGATCATTGTATCTGAATCCTTCGCTAAAACAGAAGTCTTACTATTTCTTATCGGTGTAAATTTTCGTAGATTCGCTTGAGCCAATAAGTATTTATTACGTAGGTAATTTTGTGTCCAAAAAGTTGAGAGATATCTTCCGTTTTCTACATTTCATTGTTTCTTCACTACGTAATAAATACATTCTCTTTGGTTATTTCGTGATAATTTTTCCACCTATTCTTAATGAATAAAATATAAGATGGAGTAACTTTGGGTGCATTGGCTAAATAATTTCAGTGGATTATGTAAGTGACTTTTTTGTTTTGGGATGGAGAACATCTTTTTGGTCTTCCTTTTTGTGTGGCTGTTTGTCGCTGTCGTAATAGCACCCACGAATCACGAATTTATACGGTCGGAAGGTACAGGAATTCTGAGGGTCATGACGGCTGGCTTCGGAATGCCGGAGCGTAGTCAGCCGGATGGCAGGTGGGGGGCGCATTCCATTCTTCGTCACGCTCGTCATTAATGGATCACAGATGAAACCGCAGACGCCAGGGTCGTTCTGATCTCGTGAATTCCTGTTTCATTTTCAATAAGTTTCAGCGTGAGATAAACCGCCGCTGGGCGTCAAAAACTTTTTTTTTTTTCAGCCGTCCCTCCCCGAGGTGCAGTGGGCCACCCCCGTGTCTTTTGAATGCTTGGCGGCCCAGCTAACGAGCCGTCTGTCTGCTTGTTACAGGTTGCAAGATCAAGGCCCTGCGCGCCAAGACCAACACGTACATCAAGACGCCCGTGCGCGGCGAGGAGCCGGTGTTCGTGGTGACCGGGCGCAAGGAGGACGTGGCGAAAGCCAAGCGCGAGATCCTGTCCGCCGCCGAGCACTTCTCCCAGATCCGCGCCTCGCGCAAGAACAACCTGGGCGGGGGCGCGCTGGGCGTGAACGCGTCGGCGCCGCCGGGCCCGCCGGCCAACGTGCCGGGCCACGTGACTATCCAGGGACGCATGCCAGGTGCGGCGGTGCCGTACCTAGGCGTGGTCGGGCTGGTGGTGGGCGCCCAAGGGCGCCACACACTCCAAGCGCATCCAGCACGCAAGACGCAGACGTACAATCGTGACGCCGGGCGCGACAATGAGAGAGATGTTCGAGGTGACAGGGGCTGCCCGAGAGCGGTGGAGACGGCGCGGCGCCGAGATTCGAGGCGCACATCGCCATGCGCACGGGCGCGCGGGCACGGTGTCCGCGGCGGGCTGGGCCGGCGGCGGGCGCGCTGGGCGGCTGCTGGGCGGGGCGGGCCTCATCGACCGACTCCCTGACCTGCTGGCGTCGCTGCTACAAGTGTGTCCTGGGCTCTCTTTCAACTACCATGGACACGGGCGGTGGCCCCCGCGGGCGGCGGCCCCGTCGCCCTCGGCGACTCCTCTTCCATGCGCTGTCCTAG